TAGGAAAGATAAATTGGAGAAGGGCAATCGTCAATGACTTTACCTTTCACTTTGCCACTAGGCCAGACAATACAAAATAGCCTCCATGGTATGTTTCTAGGGAACCAGTTTCCAAGAAAGAGTATTTTAAAAAAGTAAAGTGCCCTAGCTGGTTTGGCTCAGTGGATAGAGAGTCAGCCTGAAGACTGAAGGGTCTTGGGTTTAATTCCCATCAAGGGCACATGCCCAGGTTGGGAGATTAATCCCCAGTGGGGGACGTGCAGGAGGCAGTCGATCGATGAGTCTCTCTCATCATTGATGTTTCTCTCTCTCTCTCCCCTTTCCCTTCCTCTCTGAAATCAATAATATATATGTATAAATATATATGAGGTCAGCATGAGGGTCTATGTGATAACCTGTTTTCTTCTTTGTTATTAAAAAAAAAATAAAACCTGGAGCCTCCCACACTGTATAGAGAAGAGTCACAGAGCAAAGCCAGACGCAGAGCCAGCTTAAGCTATGGTGAGGCCCTAGAATGACGGGATTCCAAACTGGTCAAAGGTGTGGAGCAGAGGGACAGCCCCGAGCACCCAGCAAGTTCAGACAGCACCAAGACTTCCCTACGCTCTGTGCAGCTGCAGGGGGAGGGGGAAGTGCTGACACAGGGACTAAGAAGCTGGTCTGAGCCAAGCGCCTTGAGCCTCGGGAAGGCTGGGTCAAAATAGGATCTAGAGGACAGACAGGGACAGGTTGGGCCTCAAACCCACGTGCGGAGCGTGGAACTCTCCTGGGGTGGGAGGACATCTACCTCTTCAGGGGCAGGCTCTCATGTCACCCGGGCATGTCTGCATCCGAAAGACACTTGTGTCCGATCATGCCAAAGACGGTGATTTTTCCTCTCCTCTGGCCCAGCCACTTCCCCGGAGCTCTGGAAAGCACAGCCATGGTCCCTGCCTGTCTTATTCTGAGGGGGTAACTTCTACATCAACCAAGACAAGTTACCCAGCACTGCTTAACCACACTGCCACAAAGAAGGCACACTAGGGAAGGATTGGGGAGAAATGACACAGGCGGGCTTCCTGTTAGGCAACCTCAGTTTTAAAAAACAGAGTATTTCCCTTCTCAAACAGTTCCACGAAAAGGTTCCTTTAAATAAGCGTTTCCATGGAGCATCTGAATAAGATTGTTTAGGAAGTATGTGCTGACTCATACCTTTGCAGGAAGATCTCCCTAATTTGACGCTGTCCTCTCAATTCCCATAGAACAGCCGTGGGCAAACTACAGCCCGCGGGCCGGATCTGGCCCGTTTGAAATGAATAAAGATAAAAAAAATAAATAAAAAAAAAGACCATACCCTTTTATGTAATGATGTTTACTTTGAATTTATATTAGTTCACACAAACACTCCATCCATGCTTTTGTTCTGGCCCTCCGGTCCAGTTTAAGAACCCATTGTGGCCCTCGAGTCAAAAAGTTTGCCCACCCCTGCCATAGAATATTCTTCTCTTGGGCTTGCAATGGCTCTTTCCTGGTTGTAGCTCTGTATCTCTGCCTCTCTTTCTTTGCCCTCTCTCCTCCTGCTTCTTTGGAGACTTCATTCTTTCTCCTCATTTGAGTGACTGTCGCCCACTTCCTTTAATTGTCACCTCAGTGCTGACAATAGCTGATAATCACAAGCGCTCATTATGTGGCAGGCACTGTACTACTAATCTCTGATTTCATCCTCAAAACAGTCCTATGGAGTAGACACTGTTATTATCCCCCCTTTTTTTTTTTTCATCTTCACCCAAGGATATTTTCCCATTGATTTTTAGGGAGAGTTGAACAGAGAGGGAAAGACAGAGAGAAACATCGATGTGAGAGAAACACATCAATTGGTTGCTTCCTGCATGATGCCCACCAGGGCAGGACCAGGGAGGAGCCTGCAACCTAGGTACGTGCCCTTGACTGGAATCGAACCCAGTACCCTTCGGTCGGCAGGCCGTCGCTCTATCCACTGAGCCAAACCGGCTAGGGCTATCCCCATTTTTATACACAGGAAAACTGAGGCTTGGTGGGGTGGGGTGGGGTTGAAGGAACTGCCTAAGGTGCCCAGCTAGTAAAGGGCAGACCCAGGATTCGAACCCGGCCAGTCCACCTCCGAGATTCTGCTGGCAACTGATGACACTTCTGTACTTCACGCAATTCCATGCACTCTCTCGCCTGGACACCCTTTCCAAGGAGCTAGGGCTATCCACCTCTACCCACCCCTCAAACCCAGAATGCTGACCGTCCTGGTTGTTTAAACACTGAAATACTTCCAAACCCCGCCACCTGGCAACCTGTCCCCTTCCCAGATCACTCCTCCAAGACCTCCCCACATCCTGGTTTGGTGCTGGTGCTGAGGGCTGGGGCGTGCGGGCTTCAGGATGCTGCCGGCCTGCGTCCTCACCAGGACTACTCCTGTGGTCAGATATTGCTAGTATCACTTCTGCCGCCTCCTCCTCCTCTCTCCACAAACCAGTTCCTCCTTCTAACTTCCTTATTTCTGGGGTCCGCACCTCATTCTCCAGTTCACCGTACACGAGTTTTTGCCAGCCACTCAGTTCTCTCAACCGCCTTTCCCCCTTACCCCCCAGGAGTGTGAAAGCCTCATAGGCAGCCCCTGAGGTCCCCAGTAGTTTTCCTTCTGCCCCTCTCTTCCCAAGTCCTGGCTGGCTGTCCCATCTGCCGGACTCCTTTCCTCCTCCCTACTGCTCACCTTCAACTGGTGGCCTCGTCCTGTGGCTCTGACCTCTTCTACCTGCTGCGGCTCATCCCACCTGTCTCCTCCCTTACCCCTCGCTATGGACGCCACCCTGGAACAGACCCCTTCTAGCCCTGGCCCAGCTTCCGTGGCCCCTGCTGGACTCCCCCTACACCCTGCCCCTTGCTCCTCCATTCTTGAGGCCAGGCACTCAAGGACAAAGCCTTGGTTCCTCATGAGAAGTCTACCTTCTAACCAAGGTGTTGGTCTTACCCTGCCAATGCCTCCTCCATTAGACTCCCTTATACAGAGAACGTATTTCACGAATATGAAATAAATTCAGTCAGCTGATCCCCACTTATGTTTCCAAAGCTTCCTACCTTATCCAATCACAACGCTCTCGAGAAAGCTATTCCCAGCCACTCAGTTCTCTCAACCGCCTTGCCTCCCTCCCCTCCCCCCCCCCCCCCCCCCCCCCCCCCCGGAGTGTGAAAGCCTCCTAGGCAGCCCCTGAGGTCCCCAGTAGTTTCCCTTCTGCCCCTCTCTTCCCAAGTCCTGGCTGGCTGTCCCATCTGCCTGACTCCTGAGCATCCAATGCAAGGCACTACGGCAGGTGCTGGGGACCCAGCTGATGTGACAGCCAGGAGCTCATGGTTAGAGCTGGAGGAGAAAGATATATTCATGTGGAGGTCCAATGGTAACCCACCAACTTCCTCTGGCACTGCCATGGAAGACAGACAACCAGACAGCTATGCTGGGACAGACACTCGTGCTGAGCACCATTGGTCCATGCAGCCCTGCTCCACTATTTAACAGGACCTCGAGAAGTTGGTTAATTTCTCTGCCACTCAGTTTCCTCATCTGTAAAATGGGATGGTAAGTAAGCTACCACCACCAGGTAGTTGTGAGGCTTAAATGAGTAGTGTGTATGAAGCATTTAGAACGGGCTTTCCACAGACTCTGTGCACAGTAATAATAGCTATTATTGTTTTTATCCTTTTATATAAAGTGTCATAGGAAATTAGAGATGGAAGATAAACTTGGAAAACTATCTCTTAGGATCAACTAACAAATGCCAAGAAGGACCAAGATGTGCGCCAGGGGAGCAGGTGACAGAGCTCATTGGGTGCAATCAAAAAAGGCTTCCCTGAAGAGGTGACATCTGGGTGAAGATCTGAAAACTGGGTGTCACACATTGGGGGTGAGAGAGGGAGGCAGGTCTCTCTGCCCGGCTTTTTTCCCACAACGCCTGTCATGGGACCCAAAAGTCCTATCTGTGTTGTACCTAAAAAATTCCCAGGACTCCTCCCAGCGCCTGCTCAGGTAGGCAGTATCCCAAGGGAACCTCAAAACCCCAGGAAAGGGGACTTCACAAGGCAGGGTATAAACTGTCCCTGAGGCCACAGAGCCAGGTTTCTCTACCCAGCAGCCCTCGATGGGGGACAGGGAGCTGTGAGGCTAAATGGAGGGCAAGCAGGGTCCCGAGTAAGGAGTTGGAGCAACTTGGCAGCTAAAGGTCAACTTCGAGGTGTGCAGGCTTCCTGCTCCTGCCTTCACGGGATGAGGCCAGTTCCTCTCGGTGCAGGGATAACAACCTTAGGGGCCTCTGGGGAAGGAGAAGGGTGGACGGGGGGGGGGGGGGGGGGGGGGGGGGCAGGCAGACCTGTCGCCTCCTGCTTGGGCTGGTCCTACCGGGCTTGGATGCCCCCACGAGCTCGCAGGGTCTCACACGCCTCGGCCTCGCTCTGGGCTGGGGCCAAGGCCAGGGAGGGGGCTCAGGGAACGGGCTGCCTGAGGGCACAAAGCTTCTGCAAGAGAACCCTCTCGGGTCCGCCGGGGAATGGGAGCTAATGCGGCTCTGACAAGCTGTGTGTTTCCAAGGACCTGAAAAGACCACCCCGGGGGGTGCCGCTGCCAGCCGGCGAAGCTCACCCCAGCTCCCCGACCCCAGGTTCCCCCCAGTCCGCTCACGGCGCCGCCCCCGGCGCCATCGGTGTCTCTCCCCGACGAGTTGGGCCTCCCTTTGGGTCTCGGTTTCCTCATCTCCAAGATGAGGGGAGGGTGTCCCAACTCTACGGGGCTCGGGCTGCACCCGTCCGTGGGGGTACGCGCTGCTGGGGGCGTGGGCGGCGAAGGGGGACCACGGGACCGGACTCGGGGACTGGCGAGCGCGCGGTGGGCTGGGCGTCCGCTCCGGTTCTGCCTCTGAGCAGCAGACCGGCCCCTCGGCGCCCCCGGCGCGGCGCCGGGCAGGGTCGCGGGGTGGTGCGGGGCTGGGGCGCCCCCCGGGACTTACCCAGAAGTTCCCCTTGAACAGTGAGCCCGTCATGGCCGGCGCTGCGGCGGGTGCGGAGGGGAGCGGAGCGGAGCGGCGACGGCGCTCGGGGAGGCCTGACATTCGCGGCCGCGGTCCGCAGCCCAACTCTGGACACGCACCGCCGGCCTGAAGGCCCGCCCCCGTCTGACCACGCCCCGTACCGAGGCCCCGCCTCCGCCACGCGGAACCCGAAGTCCGGACCCAGACGGACCCGGCGGCGTCAGGCCACAATCAGTGAGCGACACCTAACTGCCGCCTCCTCCAGGAAGCCTCCGGCGATTGGGAGGAACTGGTCCGGTGGCCTGCCCGCCCGAATTCGGCTCTGTTCCTGCCCACAAGTCCCCTCCTCCCTCGACCGAATTCCTTGCAGAGAACCCAGGCTCGAGGTGGTAGGGGAGTCCCCCCCATCAGAGGGTGGCCGCGTGGATGGGGTGTCAGCGGGGCCACACTGGCCACGCGGTCTCGTGAGGTGTAGACGCTTCAGCGAGTTGTGTTCTGGACCCCGGGTGCCCCGTGCAAACCACCCAGCCCCCGGGGCACGTTTTAGTCTAAAAGTCGTGGAGAGGTCATGGATACTTTCCTCCCCTCTTGACTCTAGGTCCCTTAGCGGGGTCTTTACAGGGAGCACAGGAACTCAGCTCCTCCCGGACCCTTTCCCATTCTCAAGACCCGAGACCCTCTCCACCAATCCCACCCCAGCAGTAGGAGCCCAGAGCTTCCCTCCTCTCCCTCCACTCTCATAACATAACATACACCCCCGTAAAAGCATAGTCCCAGGGCTAGTCGGACCCATCCCTCTTTGTGGTAATATGGCACTCTATGCCCAGAGCCAGAGCTGCAGCCCAGAGAGGCTGAGTGAGTAGCCGGAGATCACAGTGTATTAAAGGGATGGAGAGCTCTGCCCACACCAAGCCTAGAGAGGCAAGCGTTTGCCTCTTAATCCGGTTCTAGCTCTGTCCAGACACAGTGAAAGAGCAATGACTGAGATTTGAAGCACAGCTAAAAGGTTCTGCTTGGTAATGCCACCCCAGTCCCACAACTACAAGGATGGAGAGGTGGCCTCCAGCCCTGGGTGACTTCAAGGGCATGCATCTGTTCATCTGGTCCTTCATCTCTTTGGAAAGCAGTTAGGCTAGAACACTGGTTCTCAACCTTGGCTGCACATTAGAATCACCTGGGAATCTTTTTGAAATCCTGATTTCTGGGCCTCATCCTCCAGAAATTCTGTTTCTTTGTTACTAATGTTGTGGCCCCACCCCATAACAAAGAAACAGAATTTCTGGAGGATGAGGCACAGAAATCAGGATTTTTAAAAAGATTCCCAGGTGATTCTAATATGCAGCCAAGGTTGAGAACCACTGGGCTAGAAGGAAAGGAAGCTGGGCAACACCATCAGGAGGCAGCAGAGGCCTTAGGGCAAAGGTTCTCAACCTGTGGGTCGCGACCCCTTTGGAGGTCGAACGACCCTTTCACAGGGGTCGCCTAAGACCATTGGAAAACATATATAATTACATATTGTTTTTGTGATTAATCACTATGTTTTAATTATGTTCAATTTGTAACAATGAAAATACATCCTGCATATCAGATATTTACATGACGATTCATAACAGTAGCAAAATTACAGTTATGAAGTAGCAACGAAAATAATTTTATGGTTGGGGGTCACCACAACATGAGGAACTGTATTAAAGGGTCACAGCATTAGGAAGGTTGAGAACCACTGCCTTAGGGCAAGGGCGGGGGGTGGGGGCACCAGGAAAACAGGCTAAACCAGTGATGGTGAACCTTTTGAGCTCAGCGTGTCAGCATTTTGAAAAACCCTAACTTAACTCTGGTGCTGTGTCACATATAGAAATTTTTTATTTGCAACCATAGTAAAACAAAGATTTATATTTTTGATATTTATTTTATATATTTAAATGCCATTTAACAAAGAAAAATCAACCAAAAAAATGAGTTCACGTATCACCTCTGACATGCGTGTCATAGGTTCGCCATCACTGGGCTAAACCTTAGCAGGAGGGGTAAGAAATAGTGCACACTGGGAAGATGAAAGAAGTTGAAGGGCCAAAGACAGGACCAAGTTTTGATCAGCTGCCTCCTGCACCGTCCCGACTTGGGATGGAGGCCCCAACCCCGGCATGTATCCTAACTGCGATTAGAACCCTGACCTGCTGGTTCATAGATCCATGCTCAACCACTGAGTCACGCCGGTCTCGCTTTTCCTGAAAGTTTTGAAGATTTGGAACAAATATTTAGGAAACAATTTCAATTGTCTAACTTTTAACGTCTAATATTTTTTTTAAGTGTTAAGTCTTACAATTTTTTATGGTACATTGTGCTTGATTTTTTTTTTTAAATATATATTTTATTGATTTTTTTACAGAGAGGAAGGGAGAGGGATAGAGAGTCAGAAACGTCGATGAGAAACATCGAACAGCTGCCTCCTGCACATCCCCCAATGGGGAAGTGCCCGCAACCCAGGTACATGCCCTTGACCGGAATCGAACCCGGGACCCTTCAGTCCGCAGGCCGACACACTATCCACTGAGCCAAACCGGTTTTGGCATGTGCTTGATTTTTGAAGCTCACGCAAGCTTCAAAGATCCCTGATTTCTAAGGCTCTTCCACCATCTGGTGGCAATATTGCAAATTGCAAATGTTTGTCGAAGCTGCATTCCTCAAACGCTCATTATGCTCATCACCTGGACAGGTATTGATTGAAAAGATAAGTAAAATATGTACTATATACAAGGGTCTATGACAAATGTGGGACATTTTACTAACAAGGTTAAATAACATTACTACAGCAATTATGAAATCATGAAATTTAATAGTCAACACATTTAAGATAACCGCTATTTTGGCAAATTTTTTTTTCGTGTGTAAGACACCCCCACTTTTCCAACCCAAAATTAAGAAATCAGTATTTTAAACATTTTGCTGGTTTTCCCCTTAAGGCCTTCTTCTTTTTGGCATCTTAAGTTGTTCTTGTTTTCTCCACTGTCTGATCATACACTCAGTGGGAGGAGGCCCAAATTGTCTCTCTGCAGCTCTATTTCCATGCTCTTTTGCATAGCTGAAAGACAATCGCTTACCAGTATTTATGGGCTCAGAACGCTTAAGTCCCTGTTGCATCTGTGCACTCTCCACCTCTACCTCCAACTAGGGCATCAGCTGACGTCAGTAACAATAAGGCTCGTGATTGGAGGAAGCCTGTTTGACAAGGTATGGGCAGCGAAGCACCCGCAAGGCTCCCTCAATTTCAGTCTAACGATTTTAGAAAAAAATAGTCTTATACACAGAAAAATACGGTAATCTCTTCCAATAACATATATTTGCATAGTTAAGCTCTTACTGTACATAAAATTTGGAGTCTCGCTTTCTTAACTTAATGTTTCCTAAGTATTGTCTAAATTCCTTAAGTAAATCTTTCCTAACAAAGTTTGATACCACACAGTGCTGGCCAAAACACACTCTTGCATATAAAATTGATTATCTTTGTAAAGAGAAATTTGCCCATGCCATCCAAATGTTAGATGCACCTATCTTTTGACCCAACATTTCCATGTTGAAGAATGTGCCCTCCAAATATATTCCATGTGCAAAGTGAAATATGTATGCAGTTCTTCATAGTAGCATGGTTATTCTAGCAAAGATTTAAAGCAACGAAATGTCCATCCATTAAGGATTGCCTCACCCGGCTGGCATGGCTCAGTGGTTGAGCATCAACCTATGAACCAGGGGATCACGGTTTACTTCCAGGTTGGGGCACATGCCTAGGTTGTGGGTTCGACCCCGTGTGGGGCATGCAGGAAGCGACCAATGATTCTCATCACTGATGTTTCTCCCTTCTCTGAAATCAATAAAAATGTTTAAAAAGAATTGCCTCAATATATTGATGTATCTTTTTTAAATTTGGCCTTGGAAGGAACTAAGTGGAGACATGAGCCTAGGCTGGCTGCTTTGGCTCACTAAGTCAGAGAAAAGGGGGCCTTGTGGACAGGTTCAGGGGGTTTATCTGGGAGGAACTGCTGCTGCCAATTGCTGCCCTGGTTGCAAGCCTCCAGTGAGGATTTAAAAACAGAAAACGAATTTAGTCCTAAAAGCCTCTGCCTGGTTAGGGTTAGGCTATGGCACTTTCCGTCCTTCCTCCACATTGAGCATCCAAACTTCCTAGGCAAAAATTAGTCCAATTCTCTTTTATCTTTTTAAATATATTTTTATTGATTTCATAGAGGAAGGGGGAGAGAAAGAGAAACATCAATGATAATCATTGATTGGCTGCACCGAGCCCGCAACCCGGGCATGTGCCCTTGACCAAAATCAAACCCGGGACCAGTCAGTCCCCAGGCTGACGCTCTATCCACTGAGCCAAACCAGCCAAGTCCAATTCTCTTTTTTAAATGAATCTAAGGCACGGGGATGAATATCCAAGCTCCGGTCAGCCTGAGGACCCTTGTTACCACACTGGGCTAGAGATCTTCAGCTGAAAGCAGACCCTGATAACTTGGGTCAGGCCCGTGGCCTGGCTAGGGGAAAGGTACAACCCCCACTCAGCTTTTAGAACTAAAGACAGTCCATGATTGCCGACTATTGCAAGCTCGAGGACCGCACTACCCTGTGGTGATCCTCTTCTGAGAACAAGGTGCAGGTAGCGTTCCTGAATACCTACTGTGTGCAGTGCACATTGCTAAGAGTTTCACAAGTGACCTCACTGAATCCACATGACCGTGGGTCATCAGGATTACCAGCCCCTGAGCAGATGGGGACATGGACGATTAGCAAGGTGGGGTGGTCCTCCTGGGATCACACTGCTGGCTGGAGGCAGAGGCAGCATGACACCCAGTCCATGGCAGACACTGCAGCCTGGCCCCTCCCTCCCACACGGCCAGAAGCGGAGAGTAGCTGCTCAATTAGTGTTCAATGAATCCAAAACGAATCTGAACATGCTCAGAGAAGCCATCACATTAAAGGCGGCAATTTTAAATTACAGGTGCAGAACTTGAGGGGAAGAAAAGCAGAAAGTCAGTTACATGTATCTACGTTGCTGATCCTCTCAAGTCCATCCCTATCCTGACCTTTCCCATCTCATTCCCCAGCTTCCCAACCCCATGCCAGTCAGGCTTTTCTGTGCTGCCAC